CCATACATGTATGTGTGTGTTTTTTCTGTCCTCGTCTAAGGACTTAATAAATATTTACACACTTTTGTAGGACTTAATACTATGACAATATATATACGAGAATTTCGGTAAATATTTAAACAAAACACCCCTGTAGTGTATATTTTCCTGTTAGAATATCAAATTCAACAAAGAAACAAAGATGCAGGGGCCATTCTAGCTTTTCTTGTACTTCTAAGATGAAAACTGCTAAATAATTACATTTAAGTATAGTAAGTGTTTTAAAATTATTTGATGACAGTTATCTTTTTAAGCAATTATTAGTTCAAATTCCAGTATATTTATTCTTCAATTTTGATGATAATGTTTTCCGATCCTTACATTGAGCACTATATTATTTTGCTTGATTTAGTGACGTTTTATTTTCCTAACGTTGAAAGCTTCATCTAAAACTTTTCACATCAACGACCTCATCTTCGTTTTTTTATGGGGTAGTTCTTTAGGAGGAATGTGTCACGCAGGGTTTTAAAAAGCTAATTTTACAAGTCTCTATTGGAATAAATAGTAAAGTTTACATCAGTCTCTATTGGAATAAATGACAAAGTTTACATCAGTCTCTATTGGATTAAATAGTATAGTTTACATCAGTCTCTATTGGAATAAATGGTAAAGTTTACATCGGTCTCTATTGGATTAAATAGTTAAGTTTACATCGGTCTCTATTGGAATAAATAGTAAAGTTTTCATCAGTCTCTATTGGAATAAACGGTAAAGTTTTCATCAGTCTCTATTGGATTAAATAATAAAGTTTTCATCAGTCTCTATTGGATTAAATAGTAAAGTTTTCATCAGTCTCTATTGGATTGAATAATAAAGTTTTCATCAGTCTCTATTGGATTAAATAGTAAAGTTTACATCCCACAACAGGTTACTTATTGTATAGAGCACCATAGATTATTTATTGTATGGAACATAACTGGTTACTTATTGTATGGAACACAATAGATTACTTATTGTATAGAACACAACAGGTTATTTATTGTACGAAACATGATATATTATTTATTGTACAGAACACAACAGGTTACTTATTGTACGAAACATGATATATTATTTATTGTACGAAACTTAATAGATCACTTATTGTACGTAGAACAATAGGTTATTTATTGTACGAAACACAACAGGTTACTTATTGTATGGAACACAGTTGTCTATATGTTGACTTAGTAGCTCTCTTATCAACAGAGATACTTACGAGTGAAGTTCAAATTTATCGACGCACTAACTGCTCCTTGCTTATTCTTTGCTTTGACTTTATACAATCCAGCATCTGTTTCGATGACGTCATCTAACTCCAAGCTAATGTTGTATTTGTTCGGTCCAATTTCTATTACCTTAATCACTGTACGAAAGTCGTCTAGAAGTTGAGTTTTTTCTCGAAACCATGCTATTTTCGGACGAGGGTTAGCTATTAACTGACACTCAAAAACTAACTTATTTCCATCATCTTCCTGTCTCAATTTTGGTTTATGTACAAATGTTGGAGCTACTTCGTCTTGAATGGCCATTTTTCAGCCTGCTTTCACCGCACACGAGCACTAAGTGCGTGATACACGGTCCGTGCACGACACGGAGAGTTTCGCGGAACGTTCACCGAGTATCGTGGTAGGCCTGTGTTGAAACATCAACTGGAAAGCGTCTACCTGCGAAACGAGAAGAGAGATAGTACTTTAAATACGAGGAGGAAAGAGGCGAATTTCCAGGGAAGATATAAACTAAAACCTGATAATCTGAATCAGCCTTCCTCATCAGTCATCACTTTAAATGACTCAAGTAAATATATATATGATTATGACTTGTTTATAGATAATTCAAACACACATACAAAAAAAAACTCAGACTTGACAAAATTTAACAAGGAAATCGTTCCCTGACCCGTAAAACATTACGGATAGTGGGTGTTCGTCAAGTGTGTTTTTATTGGTTAGATTCGTTATATGTTGCTTAAAATAGATTTTTCCGGCGATGCACACAAACACTGGGTCCTTTACTCTTAAGCTTCAACGGCGCGAGGAGTATTGGTTTCAGTTTCTTTTATACCGACAAGTACGCTTGTTAAAATGGGTGCTATTCCGTGAAGATCTTCAATCAGTCATCGTCCGTTTGACACTGGCTATCTCAAAATAAAAAAAAAGAGAAAAACTTCAAATCAATTCCAAGTCTTTAATTTGTTTTCCATGTATGATAATTCGAAACTGATGAAAGTTTTTTTACAGTAGAGACTGATGTAAACTTTACTATTTAATCCAATAGAGACTGGTGAAAACTTTACTATTTAATCCAATAGAGACTGGTGAAAACTTTACTATTTATTCCAATAGAGACTGGTGAAAACCTTACTATTTATTCCATTAGAAACCGATGAAAACTTTACCGTTTATTCCAATAGAGACCGATGTAAACTTTACTATTTAATCCAATAGAGAGTGATGAAAACTTTACTATCTAATCCAATAGAGACCGATGTAAACTTTACTATTTATTCCAATAGAGACCGATGTAAACTTTACCATTTATTCCAATAGAGACTGATGTAAACTTTACTATTTAATCCAATAGAGACTGATGTAAACTTTACCATTTATTCCAATAGAGACTGATGTAAACTTTACTATTTAATCCAATAGAGACTTTTTATACAATAAGTAATCTATTGTGTTCTATACAATAAGTAATCTATTGTGTTCTATACAATAAGTAACCTGTTGTGTTCTATACAATAAGTAATCTATTGTGTTCCATACAATAAGTAACCAGTTATGTTCCATACAATAAATAATCTATAGTGCTCTAT